AAAAGAAAGAACAATAAAAAAAAAAAGAAAAAAGAAAAAAGAAAAGATGTACATGGTAGAGAGCAAAGGAGGCGCAATTGGGTGTATGGTTGGGGCATTAGTGCTGCTTGGGAGTTGGCCGGCCATGCTTGCCGAGCTCGAGCGCCGTGGCAGACTTCCCCAGCACACTTACCTCGATTACTCACTCACCAACTTCTTCACCGCTTGCTTATTAGCCTTCACAATCGGTCAGATTGGGGATTCCCCTGACCCTCACATGCCCAATTTCCTCACCCAGATTGAGCTTTCTCAGGTAATATTTATATATAGGCAAAAATTTAAAATTGGTCCTATAATTTGACCACTGTTCAAAAAATCACCCCACCGCGATATTGACCACTTTCAATTTAAATTTAGGTCCTATAATTTATCGGTTTCATCAATTTTGGTCCTTTTTTATCCGCACCCTGGATTAAAAAGTGAAGTGGCATGAAAAAATGACCAAAATCGATGAAATCGACAAATTATAGGATCAAAATTGACGTGCCACGTAGATCATAATTACGCCATGTAACATTAAAAAACTGACACGTCATGCCACGTCACCTTTTAATCCTGGGTGCGGATAAAAAGGACAAAAATTGATGAAATCGACAAATTATAGGACCTAAATTGAAAGTGGTCAATATCGGGGTGGTTTTTTGGACAAGTTATAGGACCAATTTTGAAATTTTGCCTTTATATATATACTTATATACCATTTTATTTTATTTTTCCTTCAATTCAACTAATGTTTACATATTCTCGAAAATTTGCAGGATAATTGGCCCTGCATTTTGATTGCCATGGCTGGTGGTGTTTTTCTCAGCCTAGGAAATTTGTCCACACAATATGCTTTGGCCTTTGTCGGACTCAGTCACAGAGGTTATCACATCAAGTATTGCAGTTGTTTTGGGTAATCCATTTCAATTTAGTTTATAAAAGCCTACTTCTGGAGTTAGTTAGCATAATTAATTTCCATCAAATAAATAAATACATAACTGTGACAGGGACAACCTTAAACTATTTCCTGGAGTCGCATGTTTTCTCATTGCAGTTTGTCTTGGTTCAGCCGTTCATTCATCTAATGCGGCCGATAATGCAGCAAAACTCAAGATAGCACACAGTATGTTAGGGATCAAAGTAACTCATTTTCTTATAATTTCTTCTTCTTGTTGTATGAAAATGATTGCGATAAAATATAAACTATACGAATTTTTATCAATACATTGTTAATGTGGTAATCTGTAATTTGCCAGTAAAGTTGAGACACAGTGATGTTTGACACTTCTCTACAGAACCCCTTGAGATGTTCCAAATCTCTCCCTAGATATTAATTAGATATTAATTCAGAACGTGTGAGATGACAAAAATCTATGCTTCAGAATGTTGTTTATATATTAATTATTTTGCTTTGGAATTAGGTTTGGTATAGACATAAATAACTTTTTCCAAACTCGGTAAGTGTACATTAATTTTGTTATTTTTTTTTAGTACAAACTTCCTTCCTAATTTGGTCAAGTAACAATTTTACCATTTTTTCTGTCATATTCCTCTCCTAAATTAGGATTTACAAATCACTTTTGCGCATTGTCTGTTTTCATTAATTAGTCCATCAAATTAAATAAAATTTCTATTTTACCAATCACTTTTATAATATATTTTTTACTCAACACATGTGTACTACACGTGTGTCGTGTACTATACAAGTTGAAAAGTGGATGTTCCTATTTTACGATTTTATAATTCTAGATGTACCACCACCCTCAAATTGTTCCGATTTCACAAATTGAGTCACTTATCTATAAATCTCTTTCATATATAGTGCCACTCCACATGTTTCTTTCATAACATACGAACTCAGGTAGCACAAAGGACAATATTGAAAATGGAAGTCGCGACGATGAGGGAGAGCGAAAGCAATTCGGGTCGGCCAACCATCTCATCGAGCTCGAGAACAACCGAGCAATTAAGGTCCATAAGTAAGCCTTAAACTCAGCAAATGCACACCAAACGGAAGTTAACACAAAAATTATGATGTGATGTTGATGTTAATGTTAATGAAACAGGTGTTGGGTAAGAGTATATGGGTGGGTCTCGGCATAACCTTGTTTGGCGGCATGTGTTATGCCCTATTCTCCCCTGCTTTCAACTTGGCCACCAACGACCAATGGCATGCTATGAGACACGGAGTAGCGCACCTCGTTGTGTACACCGCATTCTTCTATTTTTCCTTATCTTTTCTCGTTGTTGCACTTGTTCTCAACATATGGTTACTTTACCGGCCTCCATTTAACCTGCCGAAATCGTCCTTTAAGGCCTACATTAGAGATTGGAATGGGAGAAATTGGGCGCTTTTGGCAGGTGTGGTTTGTGGATTGGGGAACGGGCTGCAGTTCATGGGAGGTCAAGCTGCGGGTTATGCAGCAGCAGATTGTGTCCAGGTTAGTGTCGTTACTTGAATAATAATAAATATTTAATTATGAAAATATTCATATATATATATATGGATTAATTAATGTGCAGGCTCTCCCACTGGTAAGCACCTTTTGGAAAATAGTGGTTTTAGGGGAGTACCGGAGATCGTCCAAGCGGACATATGTATTGCTGGTGAGCATGTTGATAATGTTCATTGTGGCCGTTGGTGTGCTAATTGCATCATCTGGACACCGAAAAGCTAGCAGCTAAACCTAATAATTGGCAGACTGGTTTATTAGTTCAATAAAATATAATAATGTATTCAGGCAGGAGATCATCTCATGTAACTTACTCTTGAGCCTATTTGATGGACTTCTTTGAATAAAGGGCTATTTTTCTGCCTTGCCTATTTTTGCAGAAATTGTTTTTATGTATTGCCGTGTGTGTAAAGTTGAATTAAAAATAGAGTACAAAATCTATTCATTAGCTTTCCATTTTGGTCATGAGTTGATGAGCATAATCTCATTTGCAAACATATTACAATTCTTTTACCAAAATTATTTATTGTTGTTTCTCTTTAGAGAAAGAAATTCTCAAATAATAGCTAAAAGTTGAGTTTGTTTACATACTTACCTGTCCCAAACTAATTTCGATCCAAGATTTTGCGTCATACTGGTGCTGCGGAATATGATATCGCTCGTGTATAATTTCTTGGGAAAAGTGGTATGGCCTTATGATATTTGATGGTTGTATGCGATTATACTTGTTAGAATATCACTTGTGAGTTGTCCCACATCGTTTATATAGATAAAATAGACCGACATTCTTGAATACCTTTGTGGGGATTGGTTAGAATATCACTTCCCTTCATTCTTACATGGTATCAGAGTCAGTTCTACGTGAGACCGTGCGATGACGTACCCGTTACCCAGCCCAGTTGGGGTTGGGCTCCCGGCTCAGTATATGGGCTTAGGCTTCGTATGAAGGACTCACAAGTGAGGGGGCGTGTTAGAATATCAATTGTGAGTTGTCTCACATCGTTTATATAGGGAAAATATGCCTAACTTATAAGCATAGTGGGCTACTCCTCCTTTCACAAATTGATTTTGGAATAAAACCTCACTTGGGCTTCATCTGAGTTTTTCCTGTTGGTGCGCTTCATCTGCGTGGGACCGCACCTGTTCTACCCCCGATTCTTACATGGTATCAGAGTCGGTTCTATGTGGGACCGTGCGATGACATACTCGTTTTCCAGCCTATTCGGGCTTGGGCACTGGGCACCCAGCTCAGTCGGGATTGGGGTTCGTATGAAAGACTCAGAAGTGAGGGGGCGTATTAGAATATAATACCACTTGTGAATTGTCCCGCATAGTTTATACAGGAAAAATATACCTAATTTATAAGTCTAGTGGGTTACTCCTCCTTCCACCAATTGATTTTGGGATGGAACCTCACTAGGACTTCATCTGGGCTAGCTTTCTCTGTCATGATGCACTTCATCTGCATGGAATTGCACCCATTTGTTTCTATCCCCGGGTCTTACAATACTAATTCACATGTGGCAATCATTCAATAAAAATATAAATTAAAACATGATTTTTGAATGGAATCTCTTCTTGCTCGCGTTCTTACACATTTATGTTTAGACCTTCTCTAATGGTGGCAATGAATAAGTAAAAATAAATGCCAACAACTAATGTAATATGGATTTTGTGGAATCTCTTTGTACAAGAAAATTGGGTTTTGTGGATTTATCGCTATTTTTAGAAGACTAGTAAAGTGCACGTACGATGCACGTGATACATAATTTATATTTTAATGTGATTTTAAATTATATTTTCTGTTTTATATTTTTATGGTCTATTCAATTTTTTGCATTATTATTTTCAACTAATAAAACGCAAGAAGTACATTACATAATAGACAGTGTCAAATATAATGAAAGTTGAAATACAATTTTTAAAATAATAATATTTAAAATTATCTAAGTTAGTCTTGTTTATTCGAAATCTTTTTTTGTTTGGAGAAGATTGAAAATTTTGCACAGTAAAACTAAATTAAAATTTTTTACTTAAATAATTGCATGTGATAGTTTACAATTTTGTCTTTTTATCTTGTTGAAGGAAACCATTCTTTGTCATTATTGTTATTGACTAAATAAAACAGTTATAACTCAATTGATCTAATTAATTATAATTATTTTATCTTGTTGAAGAAAACCATTCTTTGTCATATGCTTCTTTTTAACTTGATCTAATTAATTATAATTATTTTCATGAGTGATAAATATATATTAAAATTCCAATTTTGGTCGAATTTTATTTTATTTTTTTCACTCAAATACTATTATATTTTTAATGAACCATTACAAACATATGGTACACAATCTGATTTAGATTTCAATAATCTTAAAAGATAATCTATAAACATTATAAACAATTTTTTGTTAAATTATATTTTTAGTCCATGCAATTTTTTACCAAATTATTCCTCCTTTCATAATAGTAAGTATTAGTCTAAAATGAGTATTAGATTATATTTACTATTTAACATCCATTAGAATATCGTAATCAATACCATAAATATTTTGTTTAGAAAGAGTTTTGCTTTTAGTTAATTTTATTTTATTGGTATAGTTAATGTTATTATAATTATTATGCTGTTATTGCAATTTTATCATTACAAATACAGTAAACATTAGGAATCGTGAATCATGTGTAATCTATACTTATATAATAAGGTGTACCATTTACGAAATTTAGTAAGTTGAAAAGTCAATGCAATAAATGCATTACTATTTTGAGCAACATAATATAGTATCATATCTATGCTTATATAAAAGGAGATTCTATTTACTACATTTACTATCCAGAAAAGTCAATTGCATTAAATACCATTACTATTTTGGTATTATAATATTTTATTTATTTAATTAATTTATTTATTTATTTTAATTTAAAAAGATAAGTATAATATAAATATTTTAATAATAAAAAATCAAATACCAAATAAAAATGTACATTTTGACTTATTTGATTATATTTGGTATTTGATTATACCAAATATATTCCTATTTAGTATATACATTAAATACTTACTAAAGTATTTATTTGTTTTATTTGTCAAAGTTAAGTTTAGATTTGTTTATATTATTTAAAAAAAAAATCATATAATTTTATAACAATTCTACTACAATATTTAACAATATTCCTTTTTTATTATATAATAAAATAATAATTAAATATTATATGGTAAACAACAATAAGTAAAACTGTTACTTTATCTTATATCAAGTGATAAATTTATATGCTAAAATTAAATTTTTATTAATATAAATGTTTTAGTGAGATAATATATTAATTATTTTACAAGCTAGCCCTAACATGCTCATATTTAATGTTTTAAAAGATGTAGAAAAAAACTTATAATAACTCTATTGTTTTTTAGACTTAAACATTGATTAAAAGAGGTAAAAATTCCTAATTTTTTAGACTTAAACGTTGATTAAAAGAGGTAAAAATTCTTAATTTTTTAGACTTAAACGTTGATTAACACCATAGATTGAGAGTCTATATTTAGTAAAATTCCTAATTGTAATAAAAAAATTAATTTTTGCTATATTTTAGAATATCTTTAAATTCATTATAAAAAAAAAGAAAAAAAAAACTACAAAGAAAAAAGCAAGTCAGTTATATATCAATTTGTTGTACTCCTCAAATCACATTCACAATTTGGCTACAAGGAAAGGAAACTCATTGATTAAAATATTATTTTATCAGTAGTCTTATTGTACAAGAGACTTTAAGACTCCACTTGAATATTATAAAACTTTTATTGAACATTGTACAATTTTCTTGCGTATTATAAACTTTTATTGAATATTGCATCTTATAATATAATATTCTCCAAATAAATATATCCCGTGCTTCGCACGGGTCACGCACTATATATATCCCGTACATTTTTCTTTATTCATGCATATAATTATAAGTCTGGATAAATAGCCTTAAAATTGTGCACCCCGTGCATCGCACGGGCTCTGTACTAGTTTTTTATAAATAACTCATCGTTTATAACAGTACTTTAACTGCCAAATTAGTTCGGATGCTATTTGAAATTAATGGTTCACCATATTTAATTTTGATAACTTTGAAATTAATGGTTCTAGAAAACTGACTCTGTATTATTGCAAACCACAAATCACATGACCCTAGGATTAGATTAATTTACAAATGAGTATATAATGTATTAACCGAGGACGTGTTCACATGACCCTAGGATTAGATTAATTTACAAATGAGTATATAATGCATTAACCGAGGACGTGTTAACTTAGGTATTATTAAATTATAGAATTACCATTACAGAGATGACAAAAGTAAGATTATTTTAGGCATAACATATTTTAACAGATTCATTGGCACTTTTATAATAGTATAGATATAGATAGATAGATAGATAGATATAGATAGATAGATAGATATGGAATAAAAGATATAGATAGATATAGATATAGAAAGTTGGACAGCCAAATTATGTTCAACCTGAAAAATGAAAAGGTTAAAGTTGCAGCCCCCCTATATATTAATTGAGAACGTGTTGAGCCTATGTGGCAGGCTCGCATGCTTCGGGATCCCATGTGGCAAAATTACATGCTTCGTTATTAGGCTTGGATAGGTTTGGATTATCTATAAATATGTTGATTATTTATGGTAGGGGTGGGCGCGGTCCGGAACGATCTTGGATTTGACTTGTCCGCATACCCACCCCATGTAATACATGGGTGTTATACTAATATATCTCTTACATATAAGTGAAAGTATGGGTGTTATACTAATATATCTCTTACATATAAGTGAAAGTGTGAGGGTCTCTAGGCTTGACACTTGGCGTTTTTTTTGGACTAAAGTACCCATGATTCTGCCCTCCTTTTACGTCTGTTGCCCTGCCTTTATTTATTTTTCTTTTCTTTTTTCAATATATTAGGCTGGATTGTTTTTTCCGGTCAAAGATGGAGAAAAATCTTTTCGTCCTTTTTCGCTGAATTCTCGCACAAAGCAAGTCGGAGATGACAGGAGCAGGTAAACAAACACTTCCTATATTCACAAACCCATACCCAAGCAATTAGTCTCAGCAAGTCGGAGATGACAGGAGCAGGTAAACAAACACTCCCCCTATTCACAAACCCATACCCAAGCAATTAGTCTCATTTCCAACTCACATATTCGCAGGCGTCCAGAAACTATTCACAAACCCATACCCAAGCAATTAGTCTCATTTCCAACTCACATATTCGCAGGCGTCCAGAAAATCTTCGCCGGCGACCGGAGGAGTGAAGAACAGAAAATTTTCGCCGGCGACCGGAGGAGTGAAGAAGCCACACCGCTTTCATACCAGGATGGTGGCGCTCCGGGAGATCCGCAAGTGCAAGAAGAGCACCAAATGGTAAATCCGAATGATGTATGATAGAAACTGGGGGAAAATGGGTGCTGACCCACTATCATGAAGGACACCATGAAAGAAGGGAAAAACCCATATGAAACCCAAATAGGGTTCCATCCCAAAACCAATTGGTGAAAGGAGGAGTAGCCCATTAGTCTTATAAAGTGGGTCTATTTTTCATATATGAACGATGTGGGACAAATCACAAGTGATATTCTAACAATGTAATCCGAAATGGATTTCTTCTCAAATCCTTTTTCATCAAACCATGGCTGCTACTCATCTTTGTTTTCACTGTTTTGTCCATTTTTTCCTCTATCTACCTTCTCCAGAATTTTTCTACAGATCGGAGAATCATCTGCGAGACTCAAATGCTCACTTAGACGAAAGCCTCAACCAAGCCCAAGCCTTAGAAGATAATCGAAATAATCCCGGACGCTGTAGAAAGAGTTGCAGAGCCCTACAAGTCAAATCCGGCCAAAAAATCATCGAAAATTAAAGCTCCAACGCTGAGTTCGACTTTCAGTGCAAGAATAAGGTACAAGTACATTTGGTTCATCGAATCAGTTAGATTTTGGGGAACTTGTTCTTTCGCCCTTTTCTTATTCTCGACTATATTCGAAAGCTCTGCTCGTGGGCTGAGTAATAAACCTAAGCAGATATAGATGCTGCGGATGTGAATAATGACCTGAATGCTATCGAATATGTCGAAGACATGTACAAGTTCTATAAATCAGTTTAAGTCGTCTACCATATTTAGTTTAGCTGAAGGACCTATTTAACATTTTTAAATAACCTAATTTCCGTGCTACCTCCAAACTTGGGGACATTAGTTTCTGTTAAATATCCCAAGAAATCATTTAACATCCACTAGGAATTGTGTTCTTGAATCTGACAATATGAAGTGATCTTGCTATGAAATAAATAAATAAACAGGTGGAAGACCACCCCTGACTTGGTACTCCGGATCGTTCACGGGCGTGCCCATGAGTGACATGAACATGCGACCCGACCCTTGCCGCAACTATCCAGGAAGGACTTATCGGTTTTACACTGGAGACACCGTATACAATTTCGGATAAGAGCTAAGTTACACGAGCTTCACGTAAAACCTTATATCAGCACCTACAAAATTGAGTCTTAATTATAGTCGTCGGAGGTTCAACGAGTTGGGCAGGTTGGTATCTCTCAGATTGTTTATTTATTTAAAAGGCTTGATTTTTCTAGGATAGGGTGTATCTTGCTTACATATGTAGCTTATTTGTGCAACAACATCTTCGGGTGGAAACTGCAGGTCAAGCGGGGTCGTCGCATAGGTATTTGTGTGCCTAGCCTTTTCTTATAACGTTCTGGCTGCGTCTTGGCGCTAACCAAATGAAGTTTTGTTATCCAGTGTCTTTGATTTTAGAAAAGCTTCTCAAAAGGTTCAGATTTTGGCCTTCTTATCCAAATTCATGATCTAAACCCCGTCGGCGCTTTCCCTTAGTCGCATTTCGGTCAGCACCAGATGAGGGGGATTTGTGGAGGCCTTGCATGTACACTACGAATGGTTTATGCAAGGATGATGGCGGATGTAAGTTTGGTTTCCCGTGAGCTGTTTGCGTCGGGTCGGGTCACGGATATCCCCTTCACTTTCTCACCCATCGGCCCTCAACCGGGTCTCGCTTAGGTACTTCCTGAAAAATCACAGAATATTTCATTTAATAAATAAAATGAAATATAACTTGATTAATTAATGATTTTTTATTATTTGATGCAGATTTACCTAATGCGAGAAAATATTCATTGGCCAGGTTATCTGAAAAGATCATCGTGTTGTGTTGTGTTGCTCCTGACTGTTGATGGTATTGAGATAAATAGGAACCATATAATTTTGATATATTTCTCCTTCACACTAGTACGTGGCCCGTGCGATGCACGGAAAAATAATATTTTGATTGTATTATAAATTAAATAAATAAATAACATTAATCATGATTTACCCATTATTTATAAATTAAACCGGGTTGGACACAGTCCGACCGGATGGACCGAGAACCGGTTTATAACCGATTTAGTGCGCTTGAATAAAATATTTGCTATCGAATCCGCCAACACCAGTATGTTGGACTGGTAAGATCGATACAATTTTCTAAACAAATTTTGTTACATGAAAAATTATTTTAAATAAAATTACATATTTAAATAAAACAGAGATTTATAAATTGTTTATCAATTAGTTTAAACATTTGAATTTATAAATTGTTTAGATATTTGAGTAACACTTTTTATTTAAATTTATTACAAAAAGTACTATATATATATATATATATATTAAAGTATTATGTATTAAATCTGAACAACCACAAGATGGTTCGATTCTGAAAACCTTATATTTACCGTACATTAATAAAAATGATAATGAAATAAATATTTTGTTCACATAAATAATAATAAAATGATATATAAATATTCATAAATCATTAATCATGTTGTCATCAAAGTATTGTTAATATGATTATTTGAAGTTTGGACTACATCACATTCACGTAATAAAGTATTTTCAATATTAAAATTTATATTTAGGTTCAATAATGAATTTGGTCTGGTCAAACTGATACATAACTTAATTACTTCGGACCAACCAAGTTATGTCAAGTTTTTTTACTATTTTAAATATCATCTAAAAGTAATTCAATCAAAGTGGGCAGTACCCTAATTCAATCACCCGATTGATCCAAAGTAATTTCCTTATTTTTTTTAAATATAATATTTAATTTTATGAAATAAAAATATTTTATGATTCATATGTCTACACCAAATGATAGTATATTAAGATTATAAATTATATATCCAAAGATGAACTATTTATTTTTATTTTATGCCTATTAATAAAAAATAAACATAGTAATTTTAAAAAAATTAAGATTAATTGATTGGGTATGCAATTTAAAAAATATTTTTAGCGTTCAATATATATATATATATATATATTTAATATGATTGAATTTTTGGATTAGAATATATATATTTAAAATAATTTTATTATTAAAAGTCAAAAAGAAAAGATGCCATAAAGATTACAACTTTGAAAAGTTTGTAACCATTAATTTATGAACCCTCCGATTTTAAATGATTTATAATTTTTGAAACATGATACGTGCATTTAAAACCCATTAATTTAGGAACCATCCAATTTTTTGATAATAAATTAAAATTAAAATGTAAAATGTAAAAGTTGCTGAAAATAGTATATAATAAATGTGGTTGACTTTTCCTTACTACTATTTATGGTAAATGTTAATTCTTATTATATATATATATATAGATAAGTTACTCTTGAAGATAATAAGTGTTCTCAAAGTCTTTGTCCAGTAGACAATCAATCGTTTTCTTTACTATTTTCATCTTTTCTCATTTTTATTTTTATGTGTACTGCAATTCATAAGTGATCATTTGAGTGCGTGTGTTATTCTCTACATTTTATTGTGTGGTTTTTCACATTTTTGGGTTGGTCAGTTCTTTTAATAAATTGAAAATCTATCACTAATGTCCTAGAAGATACCAATTCTGCCAAAATAACAAACAAATTTCGATCTTAGGCACCAAATTTCATTTTTAATTTTTTTAGCTATTTACGGTTGCCTATGGTTTGTAGTTTTCTTAATTAACTCCATTTTTTCTTCTTTGCCAATGATTTTTAGAATAAAAGAAAAATAACGCTTAACTCATAATCTTTTGGTATCTGGATGGATCGAAATTGAGAAAAGGTTAGTAAATCACCCGTGTCTTCATCTTTATTAATTTGTGTTCCCGCAATAAAAATATTATTAATGTGAGAGTTTCGTTGAATCCTGGATCCATGTTCTGATGATGATTTAATTGGGCACGTTTTCCTTATCTTTTCTTTTTTGTTTTACTATCTAGAGGTTTTAAGAAACGGAACATGAAAGGAAAAGACTCAAGAAAGAACTTGCCCTGAAAAGGTGAGATATGCAGTACGGATATTTATTCTATGTGCAATTGACCTAATGCAAATCTTTGCTTAACTCATGCTCTAAGGAAAAGAGAATCTATTAGAATTATAATCTATTATAAATGTATGAACAGAGAATGTAAATTTGGTCGGGCCAGGTTTTATGTATATCTAATGTGAGTTTCTCTAGGTGTTGTAACGGGCAGCTCGGAAAGAACCATGGACAAATGTGTGCTGTTGAGCTTAAGAACAGCGCTACAGTGCAGGATCTTGATTTTGAAAGGCACGCGGAATAAAAGCTGCCAGGGAGAAAATTATGCTCCAGTAAGAATGCATTTTACATAAAGATGAATTTGATTTGGTAATTTTAATTAAATCCTATCATAGTACACAAATTACGTTATGAGCACAAATTCTGATGTTTGTGGTCATAATTTTTAAGTCAAGGCAAAGACCTACAAACCTAAATGTGTACGGTGTTCCTCCTGTCAAGATTCGGTTCCAATTTAGGTATGCATGTCCTATTGTTGTTTCAATGTAGAATTTAATTTAAATCCATGTTTGTTGACAATATGTATACCATTTCTCCTTCTCTACTTAACTAGATAAAGAAGCTTATATTTTGAAACATAATTGTTATGGTTTATGCTTCTTACGGTTTGGAATTTGACTACATGGATGGGGGTCATTTTTATTTTTATTTTTTTCGAAACGATAGAAGCCATATATTAAACAAACCGGGAACAACATTCGAATACAAAGGGGCTAAACTAGCCAATGACCGACTCAAAGGAAAAGAAAAATGAGAGGACATGCTATAAAAACAATAAGTATATGGAATGACCAATGTTTCTTTTTATCCTTTCTTTTGGACGATGAAGGGTTGTTAAAAGTTAATTGTTTGGTGACAATTGTAGGATATGTAATAACAATAATGATTTGTAGTTATTGTTTTATTTTTAGATTATGTGTTAAAGTTGTGTAATACAACTATAGGCATTTGTATTATTAGAATTTGTGTTAAAGTTGCATCAAACAACTATAGGCATTTGTATATTTACTATTTTACCATTGTGGAAACCCTAGATATAAAAAGGGAAAAGCCACACATTGTATTAACTTTTCTCTTCCTTCAATTTAGCGAGCGCAGTCTACTTTTCTTTCTCTCTTCTTGTTCATCTTCCTTCTACAGATTCTATACAATTATCAATCTAATATGGTATCAGTCGTGTTAGATCTATTGTTTTTTCGCTTCCGCATATAGATTTTCGATCGATATCTCCATCTCTGAGATTTTATTCGCCATTTTTCCGATTTTTTTCGTCTGTTTGACATTTTTTTTCAGATCTCCATCTCTGAGATCTTTTGGCTTTCGTTCTACATCTCTCAGATCTCTTAGTTTTCTATCTATACATCTTCGGTTCACATCGTTTTTCGTCTGCATCGGAATGACTACTGTTGAAAAACCTACGGCTACCCGTTCTACTGCCAACCCTAATGACGATCCATCTAGCCCATTCTATCTACATGCCAGCGACAATCCAGGGGCTCTAATCGTCGCTGAACTCCTCAACGGCGAAAATTATGTCAGTTGGTCTCGTGCTGTCGTAATGACTCTTAGTGTGAAGAACAAAGGTGGATTTGTCGACGGTACTTTGCTATCACCCTCTCCTACTATTGATGCTAGTCTGTATGTGTCATGGGTTAGGGCTAACAACTTAGTCTTATCTTGGTTGTTGAACTCGATTTCTAAGGATATTCGTCAATCCTTGTTGTTTTTTAACTCTGCTAAGGACGTTTGGGATGAATTGAAAAATCGATATGTTGTTAGTAGTGGGCCGCGTGTGTTTCAATTGGAAAAATCCCTTAGTATAATGAACCAGGGTTCTCTTACTATCACTCAATACTACAATGCTTTTAAGGGTCTTTGGGATGGAGAAATTTACCCTCCCTACTCTTCATTTCATAATTATTTTTAATTCTACGAATCTTGTAACTTATTTTCTTGAGTACGAATTTTTAGTTACTCCCACTAATTAATTCTTCTCCACCTAACCTGCTCTCTCTCCTTCCTTTTTCTTTCTTATCGTTCTTCTGGCCCTAATTAATTCTTCTACACCTAACCTCCTCTCTCTCCTTCCTTTTTCTTTCTTATCGTTCTTCTTTTGCAGAGAGATCAAAACCCTAAAATTTCCCCCTTTTTTTTTCTCAAATTCTTTTCTTCCACGCAACTCAACCCAAAATCGACCGCGTCGACCAAGATAGGCTGGCGAGGGTTGTGGCTCGATGGCTCGACTGATGTCGTGGGTAACCGCCGGCAACCTTTTAGAGGAGAGCGGCTGACGGCGAGCTTCGAATCGGCAACTATGGACGGCACTCGTGGCGGAGGGCCTGTGTTGTGCGTGCGGTAATCTTTGGGCTCGGCTCGTGGCTGACTGTAAAATCGGACGAAAGACTCGGACAAAAAATCGTCATCATCTTCATCTGTCAGATTTGTTTACCTAATGT